TGTACATTTCAGTCAGTTTATTTACTTAGACAAATTGATGAGACTGAACTAGATCCAATTTGAGTTTTTACCTACATTAGCTATGTAGGTGTTTCTTAAAAAAAAAAAAAAAATCTCCCATTTGGGGCCTCCCTGGTGACGCAGGGGTTAAAATCTCAAGCTAAGAAGCTATCACCAGCCCCGGTGGCAGGGAGCTAACCCTCCTGGCAAGCAGCTCCTGTATTTCAGTAGATTTGCCTGTTCTGTCCCCTACTCTGTCTCTGGTGAATCCCCTCACTGCCCACCCCCCCACCTCTGACTACACCCCAGTTCTTGTATGCATAAATAAATAAAAATAAACCTTTTAAAAATGTCCCATTTGAATATACCTCCTACAGAAATTCAAATACAAAATAAGCTCTAGAGAATACCATACATAGGTTCTGCACATTAAGTAAGCAGTTAGGCAAGATGGGTGCTATAAATATTCCTCCTGTTTGATGCTTTGACCCCTCCTTTTCCATTCTCACAAAGCTTTGATCTTTGCTTGCAATACAATCCTGATCCTGCCACTCGGGATGTGGATATCATCAAGGACAACCACTAACACTGCTGGTAATACCTTCTCTTTAAAAGTAACTGATCTTTCTTTGGGCATTTTGGATTAGGGTGGTTGTATGTTCAGTTAGCATATTAGGCCTGCTTTCAGAAATCTTTAATAACTCAGTTATTTATAATGGCTGCAACTTTTTGTCATTTCTCTCTTTTGCCTCTTTATCAAAAAACATTGACTTTCTTATTTCAATATTTTTAAAGATTTATTTTATTTAATAAAATGCAAGAACTGGAGTACAGGCTAGAAGTACCGAGTGTAGTGAGAGGCTTCACCAGAGACAGAGTCTACAGGTAGACTCTACAGGCAGATCTACTGAAACACACTGCTGAGGGGAGCAGTGGACCAGACAGGAGAGGTCTGAGGCACAATGTGGGTCACCTTCCTGATCGGTCTTGTCAACTCAGGCCACCTCAGTGGCCCATTGTGGTGATGGTGCTGAAACTTAACCCTTGGCCACCAGGTAGGCCCAGCTACCCTGAATTCGAAGGTGAATTTAGTATAGTAGGGCTACAAAAGAAACACATTAATTTAACTCATTTCATTCATTTAATGTTGACACACAAAAAAGGACATGTTCCATTTTAATAGGTAATCTCAAAAACAGTATTATTTTATAGATATCATGAACATTGCCAACTCTATTTTATGGGTAAAGAAATAAAATTTTTAAAGTTAAAATGCCTTTTCTAAAGCAAAGTGTGCTAATCTAATCATTTTATATACAACACACACACTTAAGTTTTTATTGAGTCTTCTTTGAATTTTAAGATATACAACATTGTATTAAATTAATTATCTAGTGAGCAAATGAAAAATTCTATGTTCTTATTCATGTAATTTATTCTAAGGTAAAATTTGGCTCAAGGGTGTAAGATTTTAAACTATATATTTTCCAAAATTCTAACTAGTTTATGTTATGGTGGTTATGACCTTAAATTTTTTACCTTTGACTTGTTTTCAAGAGGAAATTATGCATACTTTGATACTAAGTCATATATTCAGAAAAAAAGTAAGTAAAAAGATGAAACTTGAAAGCAAATGTGTTGAATGAAAACGCTAGAAGGAAAATAATTATTTTCACAGACAGACATCAAATTCAAGGGCTTATGTTAAACCATGTATTCGCCAATCATCTTGATAATCAAATGGGCAACTGTCATACAGCAATTTGCTCTGGCTGTGATATGACCCTTAAATTAAGAGATAAGAAATACCACACATCTTCTGAGTAGTTTTTCCTTGATCTTTATTTTGCCCCAGAGTCTTTTCCAGATCAAATAGCATCCAGCTTTATGAGAAAAAGCCAGGGAAATTTTCAGCTTCTAGAGACAAGGAAGAAGTTTTTGTTTGTTTGTTTTTAATTTTAAGATTTATTTATTTGTGCATACAGAACTGGGGTACAGGCCAGAGGCTGGGGGGGGGAGGGGCGAGAGGCTTCACCAGTGTGAAGAACAGCAGAACAGGCAGATCTACGAAGTATACTGCTGAGGGGAGCAGCGGGTGGGTCAGGAGAGGTCTGCCATGCCATGTGATCACCTCCGGGACAGAGGGCAGGTGGGAATCAAACTCATGTGGAGGTGGCTTTAGCTTCTCAGTGCTGCGCTTTAGCCCGCTGCACCACCAGGGAGGGCTCAAGGAAGAAATTTTAATGGAATTTACTTTGATTCATTTCAACGTATTGAATACATTCAAAAATAGCAAGTTTTTAAAGAAGAGTGATGGAAACATTTTGGAAAAGATTTACCTAATTTATATGGCACAACTTTGTATCTACATAAGCAAGAAAATTAAAAGATTCTCCAGATCACTCAGATGATCCTCAAAAGTGAGAAAAGCAATGGTATAGAAATTTTGAGGTTTGAGTTGTACAACTTTAAAAGTCTGAGGAATTTCTCTACATTGATACTATTTTCACATGAAGTCATGATAACAAGAAACAATAATAGAAATATCATCGTGATTCCTAAAACTCTCTAAAGAATCCACTGAAAGTTTGTTCAAAGATGTTGGTTTAACTCAGGACAGACTGTAGACAAGTCCAGAAACCACTATCACTGTATTGTCAATCAGGCAAAGCAGGGCTGAGTCTTTCAGCAAAGACTGAATGAGTACAGACTGCTACTATTCCCCAAATCAAGAGCCTTCCACTCTTGTTTGTTTGAAGAGCATGAAATTTCCCATTCAAATGGAACAGATCTTAGGATCTGGACAAAATACATAACATCTTTGTTTTTGAAGGGATTAAAGAATCAGTCCAAACTAACACAACTGAAACTACTGAATCATGCTTAGATTTCCCTGATCTTCTCCATGCTGGGAAATGAAAGAGATTCAATTACTGCCTGAACTCAGTATCATACAAAGTGAAGTGGAAAAGTGAGGCTGACTTGCCTCTATTATGTAATGTTCAGGTGGGGTTTAAGAGCGAAATTATCTTCATTTGCTCAACTTCTACCTCTTATAGGCCTCAACTTCTACCTCTAATAGGGTAGGGGTGATTGCTACCAAAGTTGACAACAGACCAAACCTTTGCATATGGGTCAGTTTCCTGTGCCATGCTGCTAGTTCCAAATCTTTTCTGAACCTCAAGTGGCACGAGTCATAATGGCCTCATCTTCTGAATTCACTTATTGTCCATCACATCCCTACATACAAATTGTTGACAGCAGTAAGCAACATCTACTTTCATAGAAATCATTTTATTTGAACCTCATAATAATGCTGTGGGTTGGTGCACAAGGTTAAGTCTCAGCACTATCAAGCTGTCACCAGCCACTGCAGCATGAGTTCAATCCCTGAACATATGGTGCATCAGACCTCTTCTGTATCACCCGCTGCAATGTATTTCAGTAGATCACTTGTTCTGCTCCACACTCTGTCTCTGATGAATCCTCTCACCCCCCACAACTCTGGCCTACACCCTAGTTTATGTATGCATAAATAAATACATCTTTAAAAAAAATGCTTTAGGCGTCAAGATATTAGGATCCTGACTACTTTCTCCTTCCCCACTTTGATGCACTCGCTTGAAAATATCACTGAACCTTCCCAACAGTGACATACATGGTGGAAACATGGAAGATTCCACCAAACTGGTTATTTGGCACCATGTAGACCACTATTGCCCAATCTGTAGGCACACTGGGCATTTGGTGTGTCTGGAAGACGCCCTAGGTGTGTGTCATCAACTAGAGTTTCCTCATGTCCACCGACTTCCTGTCTTTCAACTCTGTAGCTTCTAACTGTCACTTTGACCATATTTCATTCCTCAGCCTGATGTTACACACAAAAGTTCAGAAGTTCCTAACCAATAAGGAGTTCTCGGGAGCAGGGAAAGATCCCCAACTAGGTAAGATCATGATTTCTCACAACTGGGGAAGCGTTGGGAGAATTCAAGTGTAAGGGCTCTGTGGTGTTAATCTTCTAGTTCTTTCACCTGTTGGCTCTGTGATCTAAGAAAGGTCCTTAGTCTTTCTAAGCCTTTGGGTGTTTTTCTTCCAGGATAATAACAGTACCTATTTCATGAAGTTGCTTCAAGTTTTAAATATCATTTCTAGAAGTTAGTCATTCATTTATTATAGTAAAGAAATGTTCTCTGATATTACTCTTTTGCTTATTCTTAGATTAAGAAAAATAGGGAAAGTATTAGGAGCTTCTACTGCATTAGTGCTTTATGTAGAGTATATTACTTATTTCTCTCTCTAATTCTATAAATGTGTCTCAATTTTACCAGGAAGGGAAACAAAGGACAAAGCTACTCAATTACTTGCCAAGAGTCAGAGGTCTTCTCTAAGGTAAGCCACAGGACTGGAAAACTTATAAAATGAGCCTCTTCCGTGTGATGATGTCAGCCTGGATTTGAAGAGACATGTACTCAAGCCCTGCCAAGGAAGAGAGGCTGCACATTTATATATGCAAAACTGCTTTGGGTGTCCACAAGAGACATAACTACATCAGTAGAATTTGACTCTAAGCTGGTTTGTTTGGTTGAAGCTTCATTATTATTACTTTATTGTTTATAGGAAGGTGGATAGACTAGGGGAGAGCTCCATTTTTATCTTTGCTGTGGAATGGAAACTTGTCTTCTGAATCTAACCACATTCTGCCAATTCACAGGTGAGCAAAGACACAGCACAGTTGAAAAACTTTGATAAAATAAGAGTGAAAAAATCTTTTAGCTAGATTAATTTCATTTATTTTTAAGAACTATGTAAAGACAGTTTACATAGTTAAATAATAATAATACCAAAGTTAGCTCATAGCATTTGCTCCCTTCCAGACCTATTAAGTTTTTTTCTAGATGTTAGTAAAGTTTTCATTAGGGCAGTGTTTACATTTCATTCATCAAGTTCAATAGGTAAAATTAATCTGTGATCATTAAATGTTTTTGCCAGGCCTTCTCGTGATGTGGCTGTTTTTAACAACAATCTCTTTGATTTGTGGAACTTTAAATGCTGTTGAATTGCTTAATTTGGAAAATGAAGCAAATCCTGAAGTGTGGATGAATATTGTAAGCTGTGGAAAAACTTAAAGAATATCAAAAAAAGTAGACTGATGACCTGGGAGGTTATTAAAAATCTTGTTATGGTAGAAAATCTCTGCTAAGAAAGTAGGTTAGGAAATGTGTGCTTTTTAGCATTTCTCTAAGAATCAATCTAGGTTGATCTGCTCTTTGAACTGAATAAATAATACTTTATAGTACTGTGAAGCAGAATTGTGGGTTTTGTAGACAACATCTTTTGAATTTGTATTTTAATACTATTAAGAATGTATGTGGTAAGCATCTAGCTGACACGTAGGACTGTCCTCAATTGGATTATGGATTTAGCCTCTTTTTAAAAATGTATTTATTTATGCATGCAGAACTGGGGTATGGCCCAGAGATGAAGGGGCAGTGAGAGGATCCATAAGAGCCAGAGTCAGGAGCAGCACAGGCAGAGCAACGAAGTAAAGTGCTGAAGGGAGCAGTGAGAGAGACAGGAGGTCTGCTGTGCCATCTGGGTCACTTCCCTGGCGGGGGATGGAACTTGTGCTGAATCAGCTATAGCTAGCTTTGTGTGCTGCACTTTAACTCATTGTGCCACCAGGGAGAGCTCAGATTTAGTTTCTTAAAACCAAGAGCTGTTCCCAAAGACAATGACATAAGAATATAGTTTTATCAGAACAATGAATCAAGACTAAATGTCTCCACCTACTTCTCCAAAATTGCCCGTGGTAGATATTTTTTTAGCATTCTACTTTTTTTTTATCAAGTTTTTCTGTATTGAATGAATTTTATAGTAAGCTCTTCATCAGACCTTAGATATTCGATCCCAGTAAGCACAGTCTAGATGTTTTGTTCTGGTTTCTTGGGAGACTTTTAGAAAAGACATATAGCTAATGCCTTTATTTTCACTGAGCAGAGTGAAATCATCACCTACAATGGCTACCCCAGTGAGGAGTATGAAGTCACCACTAAAGATGGGTACATCCTCAGCATCAACAGAATCCCCCATGGACAAAAGGATGCCAGGACAGGTACAAGATGTGTCTTTCCTGAGAAAGAGGATAGCATGTGACTAAAATTTAGTGCAGGAGATTCATCAGGAGAGTGACTGATTTACGAACACTGCCTGGAATCCTGAATTGGCCTTTAAAGGGTTAGTGGGGAGTCTGGTTCCCTCTAAATCTGTGATGATGGAGAAGAACCTAAAAATGCAACACAATGGGCAAGACTGATCTTGCTAATTGTAACCCGCCTTTCTTATTAGGGCAGAAATGCAAAGGTGGTGCCCACAGTCTAACTCGTCAGTGATTTCTCATGTGGAGACTTGCTGTACCCCCGGAAAGTGAACTTCCTCACTATTGCAAAGAGGTTTGGTAGACTTATAAAACGGATTGTGGGGTGCCACAAGAGACCCTCCATGTCAGCACTATAATCACTAGCTGTCGCCTCAACAGGATAAAAAAAAAATCAAGTTAAATGACAGCAGCATTTCTGAAAATTTTTTCAGGAAAGAAAACTTTGACATTCACATATAATTTGAGAGATGGCTTATGGGATGAAACACATGGTGTTCATAAGACTTGAGTTATAGAATGATGAACCAGTCTTACAGAAGCAGAGGAGATACATTCTTAAAGTGGGGGAGGGGAGATTACGGGAAGGGGTAGGGGAGGTGACTGCAAAGCCTGTGAGGAAGGCGAGATGAGCGTATACCCAATGTCTGGCTAGGCTAGATCTTTATACCCAATGTCTGGCAAGGCTAGATCTTTTGCTGGTGCTGAGTGTTATTAATGCATCACGCTGCATCTTCTCTACCAACATTTATGTTCAATTTTTTTTCTTAGTTTTTACTTTTCTGCTGCGCCATCTGTGGGTTAGCTCCTTGGCAGGATCAATTCAGGCCATGGGGGTGGTAGTGCTGGCACTTAGCCCTTGGCCATCAGGGAGGCTACCAACATCTACATTCAGAAGCAGTTTATTGTTCAATATTTTCTCTTTGGAAGAAAGGAATTTGTAATACTAGGGTTTCAGAATGAAAATGGAGTGGGGTGTGCATAAAGTTACCAGATAAAATAGGCATGCTTGTTGAAAGCTGAACCTCAGATAAACAACAAATACATTTTTCATATAAGTCCCACTTTAGGAGATACACAAAAATTGGTCATTGTTTAGCAAAAATTTAAATGTACTAGGAGACACACAAAAATTGTTCATTGTTTATTCTGGGTATTTTTGCTTTCTTTTTATGCTAAATCTGGCAACACCAGGTGTTGGAGAGAGGAGGTATGAAATATGTATTTAAAATCTTTTATAGAAAGATTTTGCTTAAGAGGGGAGATTTGGAATTAGAAACTATGATATTATTAGTTATAAAAGTTAGGTATATTAAGTAAATGCTTTATGAATTCATTCAGTTAAACCTGTCAGCAACCCTGTAAGGTTGGTACTTTTTTTAAGATTCATTTATTTATGCATACAGAACTGGGGTACAGGCCAGAGGTGCTGGGGAGGTGAGAGGATTCACCAGAGACAGAGTGGGGAGCACAACAGACCGACTGATGAAGTACACTGCTGAGGGGAGCAGTGGGTGGGTCAGGAGAGGTTTGTGGTGCCATGTGGATCACCTCTGGGGTGGGGATTGAACTCATGTTGAAGTGGCTTTAGCTTCTTAGCTTCTTAGTGCTGTGCTTTAACCTGCTGCACCACCAGGGAGGGCCCTGGGCTGATTTTTATATCATTTCCTTTTCCTTTTTCAAAATGGGTTTCATTGATGCATACAGAACTGGGCACAGGCCAGAGGTGTGGAGGTGCTGTTGAGAGGATTCACCAGAGACAGAGTGGGGAGCAGAACAGGCAGATTGAAGTACACTGTTGAGGGGAGCAGCGGGCGAGTCAAGAGAGGTCTGCCACGCCATGTGGCTCACGCCATGTGGGATCGAACTCGTGTTAAAGCGGCTGCGGTCAGCTTCTTAGTGCTGCTCCTTAACCCACTGAGCCACCAGAGAGGGCCCTATATCATTTTCAAACGCTCTCTAGTGGGCTGAGGCTGGGGTCTTGTCTAAAGCTTGATGAGGAACTAGCCCCTGCCCATTTGTGCTTACATCTTCTCCTTTCCTGGACAGATATAACATCCCATCAAATAGGTTAATTTTCATGTCTTTGTAAGCCAACTCTGGGAGATAAGTAAATGTGAATGCAGAAAGCAGGGCAATTACAAGGACTTGCTTTGGCAGGAAACAGATCCAGGCTTGAGTCTTTCTTGGCTGATGACCCCTTGGGAAAGTCACTTAACTATTGTAATGCTCAGGTCCCACATCTGCAGAATGAGGATCCTTAGAAATAGTAGCTGCTTTATAGTGACTATTTAATAAACTCATAGGTGTAAACCAGTTGGCATATCACCAGGTGCAAAGTATGTGCCCAGAGACTTAAGTCATGGGATTACAGCTCTCCTGCAAGGACGAGAGCAAACGCAAATGCTGTTTTGGCTTTGCTTTTTCCTGTGTATACACACACACTCCTGTGGTGTGTGTGTGTGTGTGTGTGTGTTTCTATCATGTTCCTGATCTCAGGATGCTCTTTTTATTAACTTCCTTTTTCCCCCTGATCCTCCAGGTCCCCGGCCAGTAGTGTACTTGCAGCATGCCCTGTTTGCAGACAATGCTTGCTGGCTTGAGAATTACGCCAATGGCAGTCTCGGATTCCTTCTAGCAGATGCAGGTTATGACGTATGGATGGGAAACAGCCGAGGGAATACTTGGTCAAGAAGACACAAAACACTCTCGGTGACTGATGAGGAATTCTGGGCATTTAGGTAAACTGTATTTAGGGAAAACTGGGAAGGATGTGTTAGACAATCTCAGAGTATGGATATTAATAAGGGTCTTTAACTGAAGTCATATAGCTCCTAGTAGTTTCCACTAACCTCAAAGGAGAAAATAGCTAGAAGGTTTGATTTCTACTGACTCACCCACTGGCAAATCATAGCATTTTAACAAGATCCATTTAACATCAAATTCTATCCAATGCGGCCCTCCCTGGTGGCGCAGCAGGTTAAAGCACAGCACTGAGAAGCTTAAGCCACTTCCACATGAGTTCGAATCCCGCCTGCCCCGGAGGTGACCACATGGCGTGGCAGACCTCTCCTGACCCGCCCACTGCTCCCCTCAGCAGTGCACTTCATTGATCTGCCTGTTCTGTTCCCCACTCTGTCTCTGGTGAATCCTCTCACCTCCAGATCTCTGGCCAGGACCCCAGTTCTATATGAATAAATAAATAAATCTTTAAAAAAAAATTCTATACAACGCTATAAATTATAGCTCTAAGTATATAGTTGACCTGAAGGAGAGTTCGGCAAAATCCTGTGACCTGCAAATGCCCTTAGTCAACCAATGTTTACTGAGTGCTTACTAAACACACTTTTTGAAGCCCTGAGCATTCAAGAGTGAGCAAAGGTGCTGCTCTCGTGAGACTTCCACTCATTCTAACGGTGCAACTGTAAGTCTTTTCTCTTGGACAGCCCATGAACTTTACAAAGATCTTTTTTTTAAAGATTTATTTATTTACTATACATACAGAACTGGAGTACAGGCCAAAGGTGCAGGGTCGGTGAGAGGACTCACCAGAGACAGAGTGGGGAGCAGAACAGGAAGAGCAATGAAGTACACTGCTGAGGGGAGCAGTGAGTGGGTGAGGAGAGGTCTGCTGCACCATGTGGGTCACCTCTAGGGCCAGGGATCGGACTCACACTGAAGTGGCTAGCTTGCAGTGCTGCACCCCAACCTGCTGTGCCACCAGGAAGGACCTATTCTGATTTTTTTCTTAGTAAAAATATATGCTTCTGCCACCACAAGGGGAGCTGATGCCCCAAATCAGCTTCCTTTGTAGGCCTCCTGCTAGAAAAGACTATGCATCTCTACCACAATAATGAAATATCTAACACCTGCTGACAACTTGAGAGGAAAGGGAGGATAGAACAAGTTGCTGGGATCAGAGAGTCTGGGCAGGAGCAAATATTAGGAAATACTTTTGTCATGGGCCCTGGGTTGGCAACTGAGAAATTTTTACTGTAAGGCATAATTTAATTCTCTTACATTTTAAAAAGGTTTGTTTTTATTTATTTTTGCATAGAACTGGGGTATAGGCCACGGGTGGTTGGGCAGGGTGAGCGGATTCACCAGAGACAGAGTGGGGAGAAGAACAGGCAGGTTGACCAAAATACACTGCTGAGGGGAGCAGTAGGTGACACAGAAGAGTTTGCTGCACCATGTGGGTCGCCTTCCCAGCCAGGGATCGAACTTGTGTTGCAGTGGCTGAGGATAGCTTCTTAGTGCTGAGACTTAACACCTGGTGCCACCAGAGAAGCCCTAATTCTCTTATATTTAGAAGTTAGCAATCTAGAGATTTCATTACCTGTTCTTTTGATTTTTAACAAACAGACCTCTAGCTTATGGAATCCTGTAGTGTAGGCCTTTGGTTCTCCTGGCTTAGTGACAGCTGAAAGGTACTTTAGGAACTCTATTTAATATATCTCTGTTAAACAAAAATATTAATGATCGCAACACCTTAATGGATGTCTGCTAATAGCTAGAATTGTTCCTTTCATACTATCCAAGCTCCAGGGTAGCCTGCTATGCAATAGACTCAATCATGTTTATTTCACAGGTGAGGAAACTTGGGCTCAGAGATTCTAGGTGACTTATCAAAAGTCGCTTAGCTAGTCAGTGGTAGAAAGATGATTTGCAAACAATCTTGATTCCATAGCTAGATATTAAATGGCTCTAAAAGCCTTAAAGCCACCAGGGGGAGTCTAACCTAGAGACATGCAAACAAGATGGGTAGAGGAAAGTGAAAGAAACACAAGAGACTAAAACAAAGAATGGCAAGCCTAACCTCAGGTACTATACCTACATTTTGAAATCATGCTTATTGACAGAAAGTAAAATACACAAATGCCACAAACAAAATCTATGCCAGTCCACATTTAATTGAGTAAGCAATGGTACAAATGCTAAATTAATGAACAGCACAGAATCCTTTTTTTTTTTTCTTTAAGATTTATTTATATTTGCATACAAGAGCTAGGGTGTAGGACAGAGGTGTGGTGGATGAGAACAGAGTGCGGAGCAGAACAAGTGGATTGACTGAAACACACTGCTGAAGGGTCAGTGGGGAGACAGGAGAGGTCTGCTGCACCATGTAGGCCAGTTTCCTGGTCAGTCAAGTCAACTCAAGCCTATGCTGCAGGGGCTGGAGACAACTTGATAGTGCTGAAACTTAACCTCTGAGCCACCAGGGAGATCCAGCACAGAATCCTCTGTATAAAAGTAAGCACTCTGAATATTAAACTTGATTGTATTTAATTTGCAGTTTTGATGAAATGGCCAAATATGATCTTCCAGGAATAATAGACTTCATTGTAAATAAAACTGGTCAGGAAAGGCTGTATTTCATTGGACATTCACTTGGCACTACAATAGGTAAGTTTACAGGGGTCAGAGTTCCCAAGAGTTAACCTTTCAATTGGAACAGACTACCTGCCATTTATAACACCTTTTTTTTCCTGTGTACTGTGCTGGCCCATAGCATTGATGCCCTGAGTGGCTGTGAATTCCAGAATCCCAAAGACTGTAAGTAGGGCAAATCTTTCCTTCACTTCTGCTCACAGCAGTAATTTATATAATGGTGATATAATTTCTCAGGAATAACTTTGCCCAAATCTAAAGAGGTGTTTCCAAAGAGTAGGTTTCTAGACCTCCTCTAGAAAACATAAGAAGTAGTAGTATCATGAATTATGTCTCAAGAATAATAAATATACCTCAAGCATATCTTCCTCAAAATGCACTTGAGATTTTTTTTAAATAAACATTTTTGTATATATTTTATATAAGGAGGGGCATACCCTTTTACTTGGACAAGTTGAAAAACTACAATGATATTTTGCGAGTTGGAATGCTAAAGTTACTATATCAACTGGTTTTACTTATTTAGCAGTGATTCAATATTTAAAGAATAGCAATGTAATTTTAGCACTTTGTAGGCTCAGACACTATTCTCTAAAAATGTACTTTTTAATAGTTTTCTAGGTCTTTCAGAAAGAAAGAAATAATATAGCTCCAAATAGATACTCATAGTATTATAAATGTAAATACTTTGGTTTGATGCAATTTCAAAAGACAATAAGTATTCTCACAATGATGTCATTGCATTGTAATATAATGACACCCATAACAGATATGTATGTTACCACCAATTACCACCAATAGCAGGTATGTATTTATCAGTGCTTTATATTTGTAGGCAGCTTACAAATCTTAGAACATGCACAGAGCCTCTGCTATGGCCATGCACACATATACACACACCCACACACACACTCACACACACACAAACAGTGGAAGGGGTCCCAGAAGACAACTCTGGGAACCCAAATGCACAGATATTCTAAACTTCTATTCCTCTGTGATTCTGGGCTTCTGCCTCATCCTTACAAGATAGAAACTGGTGAGTTGGTGGCAGGAATTTCACAGGGAAAACAAGCATTGTACAAAAATGAAGGATGATATAATGAATATATTTTAAAAAAAAAGAAATGGGTACAATGTTATTACTGAAAAATGACAGTGGATGGAATGACAATGAATGAAGACATTGGTCCTTACTAAGACCACTGTGGTCCACGGGAGTGTCCCTTCCTACTTAGGATTAGGGAGATACTGTGAGCAATGAAATCTCATTCTATTATGAGAAAGAAAAACAGTGGAATAAATAACTGGATGTGAGTGCAAGAAGAAATAAATGCTTCACCTCCCACAAGCTGATTTTCTACTTCTAGAAGCTCCATGGCCAATTATAGCATCTCAGTGTTGGGCATCTCGGTGTTGGCAACATTGCAGCACTTAGCCCATACTTGGCAAAGGAGCTTGTCCAGCCTACCTGGCAGAAGTGATCTTTAGCACCTTATCCTGTGCTTCCCGAATCCAGTTAAGTTATCCAGAATCAGAGGAAAATGGGAGATTTGAGAGTAGAGAGGGTTAAATGTAGATTAGATTTGTAGAAAAACTCAAAAAAGAATTTCCAATACATCCTAAAATCATTGCAAAAGAAGAATAAAAATGACATAGTTGGGTCTAACTTCTACTAATAGAAACCTTGCCTAAGAATTTCTAATTTTTACAAGATTGTCTTGTCTCCTGTTCTCTCAGGGTTTGTAGCCTTTTCCACCATGCCTGAACTGGCACAAAGAATCAAAATGAATTTTGCCTTGAGTCCTGTGGTCTCTTTCAAATATCCCACGGGTATTTTTACCAGTTTTTTTCTACTTCCAAATTCCGTAATCAAGGTAGGCTTCTCCTTTTGTCAAAATTTATCCAAGGATCTCATATTAGATCAAGGTTCTTATAATTTTTAAATCTATTATGAACGAAAGGTAGAAAATTTAGATGAAATCTCCAGAAGCCAGATTCTGTGACCATATGCTTGAGTGTACATAGTAGGTGTGTGTCCATTTGGAGCATGATTTTGAAAAATTTATTTATTTATGCATATAGAATTGGGGTACAGGCCAGAGGTGCAGGGGCTGTGCGAGGATTCACCAGAGACAGAGTGGGGAGCAGAACATGCAGATTGATGAAGTACACTGCGGACAGAAGCAGCGGGTGGTCAGGAGAGGTCTGCTGTGCCACGTGGGTCACCTCCGGGGCCGGGGATCGAACTCACACTGAAGTGGCTGCAGCTCACTTGCAGTGCTGTGTCCTTACCAGTTGCACCACCAGGGAGGGTCCCATTTAGAGCATGTTTGGGCTACAGAGTTTACAAACAATTTATTGTATCCCATCTTGAACAGAAATAAATATATATAAAGAATTTCTCACTGAGCTGAATGCTAAGTCTGTGAGGGTTTACTCACAAATTTTCTTGTTCTAGTGAGTAGGTCAATAAATTCACAATGCCCAAGTGGAAAGCATTTTTAAATTATATATGACCAATGACCTCCCTATATGATCTTAGTGTTAGTGAAGCTCCTTCCCAAGTAGAAACATGCTCTAATTTACTAAAGCTAATATTCCACAGCTGGAATATCTTACTGCTCAACTATTTATTCAAGTACTTATTATTTTCCAAGGGTAGGGAAAGTATTTTTATTGCTAATTGTGGATTTGGGATTTTATTTTATTTTTTGTTTGTTTGTTTTTTTTTCTGTTTGCTTTTATTTTCTAAAAAGGTCACTGCTACAGTGAACACAGTATTTTACCAAAATAACCCTTTACATTTGTGGTCAGGAGTAAAATATATGTAGGGTAAAATAAAGTCAAGGAGACCCCAGTAACCTACTGTGGTTTGGGTATCACCCAATAATTCATAAATAAAATTGACCCTGGTTTGTCTCGGAGGGGTGGAAATAGGAAAAAAAAATATTTATACAAACAAGGAAGAGTTTGCATAGGCTTGATTCCATAAGGTTGACTAAGTAATAATGGTAATATTGCGTTATTGACCGTGAGCTCAGAAGATGTAATCTCCTTTTTGTGTGGTTGACAATGCTAATTCAAAGCATAATATATTAGTTTTGAATATGTCCTGCATTCGAACATAGTTGACTAGATACAGTAGCTAAGTTTAAAGTTAGGCAATCTACCTCTATATGTACCAGTTCTGCACTTGTCTTTCTCTGCCTGCAGAGTACATATCATCTCTGGTTTATTGCAATTTCATATCCTTATTGTCATGTTTTCTACTTCCTTTGATCTCAGTCCTGACCCTTCCTGACATTTCCTAACATCTGCAGAGCTCCAGGTCTCTCACCAGAGATTCCTACCACACTGCCAAGCCCTAGAAGTTTTAACCTTGCAGCCTTCTGTGACATCATCATCTATTTTTTTCCTATCCAGTGGCACCTGCAATACACCATTCTCTACTTCTCAGCATACCAGGTGGCTGACTCTGGGCACATGGGTAATAGGCATACCTTACTTTTCTTCCTATTTAAGGTAATATTTGAGATTGTTCCACCTTACTTACCAATTAATACTACATAAAAAATATTGGCAATCTCCAGTTACACAGAGTGCAGGGGAACGTCACCATGGAGAAGTGAATATGGAGAATCTTTACTGCAGTCTCCTTGTAAATCATGTCTGAGGCCTTCCCTGGATGGAGACAAATCTTTCCCTTAATGACTTGGTTTAGTTGACCATAACAGCAAATGCAAATACAAATTCCCCTACAGTCCTTATTTCTGGGAGGAAGGAATGTCGAGAAGTCTGAAAGTGGTTCTTGATAATTATTTTTTTATTTTTGCAGCGTACGTTTGGTACCAAAGGTTTCTTTTTAGAAGATAAGTCAAGAAAAATATCTTCTATCAAAATATGCAACAATAAAATACTCTGGGTGATATGTAGTGAATTTATGTCCTTATGGGCTGGATCCAACAAGAAAAATATGAATATGGTATGTATAAACGTTATGGAATCACGTGATAAAAAACCAGTTTTGCATGTCTGCAATCAACCAATGTTTGCTACAGTTAACTTTGAATTTACAACTGAGACAGAGTATTAAAAAATAAAATCCTAGAAAAGTAAAGAAGCACATACAAACATTAAACTTATTTCTTGTGTTTCTTCATTGTTTGGGTTTGGCCTCAAGTGAAATTTGCCACTTAGAAAAGCTGAGTCAGATTTGAATGGAGATGTAATATCTTTCCTAGGTGGAAAGAGCAATTTTGCTTCATCAGCTGTTTCCAGTGATTAAATTGAAGGTGAGGGAGGGAGAAGAAAAAGGAAGGGAGAATAGAGAGAAAGGGAGAGGAGAAAGGGGAGGCAGAGGGAAAGAGAGGAAGAAGAAGTTTACATTTTCAGACTTCTATGGCTACATAGTCATTGCTGCCAAATAGGTAGTCAGTGAGACTGTTACTGTGAAGCTAGTCTCAAAGGTTTTTCTCTACCAGCCCACTCCACCCCTGTTCTTTATGAGTCTAAATTGTATTAGACTAAAGGTCATGAGGGAGGAACAGTTGTCAAAAGCCCATTTCAAAGTAAGGATTTTTAATAATTTCCTTGACTAGTGTCATTATATTTAAGATATGGATTTATGATTATTATTATTATATCTCTATATTTTGGTAAAATGTTTAGAAAGTTGAAATGTAGTGCATATGGAAGTTGTTAGTATGGTTTTTAGTATGTCCTTTGAGTAGATGAAAACAGAAATTCAGAAATGTTAATCACTTGCCCAAAGTCACAAAGCTCATGATTAACAAAATTAGAACCTACGATGCAGGTGTGCTGACCTTCTCCATGATGACTCAGGTGCACACACCTCCCCTGACATTTTCTCCTTCCTAATTTCTGTGCTATAATGTCTATTGCTTCCACTTTAAACTAAGGAAGTCATCCCACCCCTTAAACCAAGCAAAAGATGGTACGAGTTTCCCCTCAAGCAGTGAGTGTCACCAGTTGCATGGCTCACTCAAACTCCAGTGTCAGATGTGCAGTCATGTTTATTTAGATGATTCTGTCTCTCCATTTCCAACACCCCCTGTTCATTTTACTTCCTGGCATAATTCTGAGTCTCTGAAAGGCAGAGTCAATTGCACAGTGATTGTTGTTGAAACATGCTTTATTTCCCTGCAGAGTCGAATGGATGTGTACATGTCACATGCACCCACTGGATCATCGATACAGAACATTCTGCACATAAAGCAGGTAGTAGCTTTGCCATGGAAAACCACTGGAATCCTCATTTTCATTATACATGAAAAGACAGATTAGATGAGTAGCTGGCTTCTATTTTGTCCTTTTCACCATCTTTTTTTTTTTATTTCCCTGAATTTTAAGAGAAAGGAAGAGGTCTGGTGCAAACTAAGAAAGAGACATCGATAAATGTCATCTTAAGTCAGAACTTGTAAAATAGGATGTGAGACTGAAACAAGAGCTATCTTGGAAAAACCTCAGGAGAAATAAACAAAGGCTATCAGGAAAAACCTCAGGAGAGCTGATCTTGCACAGAAAGAGAAATATTTAAGATGTGACTTCTCTCTAAAGAGTCTTGGTTTTTCTATCAGATTTTCCTCCAAGCCAAGAGAGATCACTGCTTCCTTTTTTTGAACTTTTTTTCACAGTAGAGCAAGGTTTTAACATCCTTCTGTTGAACTAAAAGTCTTATGTTCTTTGCAGTTTATAGTGGTTTTATAATATTAGCTATTATCAGCCCTGATTCTCATTCTGAATACCCTTTTCTAAAACCCTTTGTTCCAGCTTTACCGATCTGATGAATTCAGAGCTTACGACTGGGGAAGTGAAGCTGAGAACATGCTTCACTACAATCAGGTGAGCTACTCAGTATGATGTCCAACAGGTGTTGAGAAATTAGAAGGTGAGAAGACTCCCACCTGGCAGTTATCCATCCCCTTTGCATTGATACATTTTTTTTAAATGCCCCATTTTATTCTGTAGTCACTGCAGAAAATTTAGAAACAACAGTATATATATGAAATTGAAAGTTACTAAAAACAGATAGTGAAAAGACTTATTATGATGATCATTTCACAACACATACAACGTCCAATAATTTTACAGTTGTGTACATGAAACTAACATTTTAGTTTATCACTTATATCAATCATTTTTCAACTTTAAAAAAAGAATTTTAAAAAGACACAAAAGAATGAATATTTCCACTCAGAGTTAACTAGGTGTCTCAATATTTTGTTGCATTTAATCCAATCTTTTCTGTAACATACCACTTTATTTAATCTTTAACCTTAATTTTTAAATTTATAGTCATAGCAAGACCTGAAGTCACTCTAACATAATTCATAATAGTTGCATAATAATAAAAATCATTTTATAAATTTTTTATACAGAGTAAGAAAATACACATTTTTGGCATCAACAAAAAACAAAATATTCTTAAGAAAGTTGAGTATCACCCACCCATGAATAACTGACACTTAAGGCATTTATTCTCCTCTAACTTTACACACCCAAATCTGTAGACTCATTCAGTCCTCCTGTATTTTTATCAATCTTGTTGTCACCATTTATTTTCCCAAAGTGAGGGACAGGATTTCTCAGTATTAACTCAGAACAATATATTAAACCTTCTACCATTTTCCTTCATTGATAGATTTAAGGCTGTGAATGCAAAGGTTAATCAATTAAATTATTTCTGATGATGATCTGTCAGGTCATCAGATCAGTCAGATCATTACATCAATTTCTCAGCAATAGATTAAAATGCTGTTAATGGTCCTTAAGACAACCATAGGAACTAAAATATGTATATTTGTATTATTTTTAAAATCAGTTTGAGTAAGTTATAATTGAGATACAATAAAATTCACTAATTTTGTGTGTTCAATTTAGTAAGTTTTGACAAATATGTTCATTTATAAAAAATCACAATGAAGATATAGAACATTCATACCCACAAAATTTTATTCTACTACTCAGAATACAGATAGTCACAAATGCATATACTTACAAATGCTTAGAAAAGGTTTAGAACAAATAAACAACAAATGTAAAAGCGGTTATTTCAGAAAGCTGAAGAATGGAGGAGGGGAGTGGGTGGACATGACGGCGTAAATGAGGGTCTCATTTTGGATTTTTACATATTTCTTTCCTTATTTACATTTTCCCCACCCACCCTCCTTCTTTCCTTGTTTCAGCGAACAGGTTATACTTATATACTTACAAGAAAATGAAACAAAAGTGCTCTCACACACAATATTATTCTCATTCTCTTTTCTAGCATTTTGAGGAATAATTGACAAAACTACATCTGAGACATCCCAAAATATCTGAAGGCTGACTAAATACATTACCTACCTATCTCCAATTTTGTATTGTACTATATCACCCCACACCGCTTGTTTTCTGGGCTCACTGGGCACCCAGCTACCCCCAGTCATCGTATCTGTGACACTTCCTGAATGCTAAGAAGCCCTCATCACTCTCTCTTCATACCCAATCACTCCATAGGAATAATTTCAAGTGACCCCCCTCTTTATGTGAAGACCTCAGTTGGAAATACTTCTTTGCTTCACTTCCATTGTATTTTGATTGTGATATGGCATTTAGCATAAACAACTTTGTATACAGTGCTATCTCATATGGTGTCTCCTTTGCAAATCCTTTGATAACAGGAAACATTACATGTTTTCTCCCTATATCCCTTGGTACCAAACAGAATTATGGTCAAAGTAGCTTCTACTTATTCTTGAATTCAGGCATTGCTATGAGGAGCTTCCTTTCACAAATACCCTTTCTTTCTTTTCCATAGAGTCATCCTCCACAGTATGATTTGACTGCCATGAAAGTACCCACTGCTGTGTGGGTTGGTGGACACGATGTCCTTATAACACTCCAGGATGTGGCCCGGTTACTACCCCAAATCAGGAACCTACGTTACTTTGACCTGTTGCCAGAGTGGAATCATTTTGATTTCATCTGGGGCCTGGACGCTGCACAGCGGGTATACAGTAAAATCATAGATTTGATGAAGGCGTATGCCTAACGTAAGACATTTTATTTTTCAGTTAAGAGTTGCTTGCAGCTGATAAGAGGCTTCAGGGAAATAGCAAGGTCTTCATTCACCACCTTATTATTGTTTCTTTAACACAGCATTCCAACTAGGAATTATTGTAACTATGCCACTCTTTCTCTAAGATTTTCACATCTGAAATCTTAGACTCCTTCCGTCTGTCAGAACCAGATCCCTTTTGCATCCAGGATGATTAGGAAACTATTTTCTGCTAACATTCCTGTTGGAAAATAGTTAAAAGAGGGTTTCTCCCTTTTTTGTTTTAAGCTGACATAGTGGCTTCATGCCAACAATGCCTGCTCCCAATGTCCTTAGTCAAAGGATGGAACATCAACATAGGAGTTCTGGTCTAGCAAAAAGACCTTATTAATACAGTCATGTGGAAATATATTTGGGTACCTGTGATCTTGTGGCTTAATTGACATCAATTGAGAGCAACTGTCATTGTGGTCATCTATAAATAAGCCATAAAATAAGTCCTGGCCCACATGAAACATGAACTAAGATAGCAGAAAGGAAAACTAACTTAATTGAAGTATTAAGTGTTTCAGATAGATAGAAAATAAAAATACAAAAAGTAAGTATGACTAAGATAACCTAAATTACAAAGTATTAAACTTTTTCCCTACAGGCCACTATCTCTGATACAAGGCTCAATTATTTTAACTTTCTGAGAATAGTATCAGACATAAGAAATGCTTTCCTTTTATCTTGTTCTAAAGATAAACTAAACCCATAAGTCACTATGTTTTCATTACTGAACCAGAATTTATACTACTGTGTACAAACCCAAGTAACATGTAGAACACCTTATTCAAAACCTAATCTAGACTCAACAAGAAATACGCAATCAACAGTCAAAATTTCATATTGTTTCAATTTTTAAATGATATAGACCTTGATTCTAAGATTTAGTACAGAGTTCCAAGGACTAGCATGAAGTTTTAATGTCAATGTTCACGTTTTCCAATGGTGTGAACTTGGAAACTTCCCTTACCTTCTATGAAGATGTAGCTAATAAAAAACTGTGTATGGTCCTCAAAGAATCATCAATTTATGATGCACATATATACATTTAACAGTTTATTTCAACTTAAAGAGAATAAGTGTAAATAAGTTCACTAGTATTTACAGGTAGGACCAAAGTATTTTGGATTTTGGATGGATACCACATAATTATTTTTCAATAAATAATCTATAATTCATCATTTTAGCTTTTACTTTTAGTGTCTTTATAATGGAATGAGAATTTTAAAACACCTGGAGGGCTATTTTAAGTGCCAATGCATCGATGCTTTTATAATTTTTATTTGGCAAAAATTAGAAAAAAAATTATAGCATTCTATAGTGACTGTAATGAATTTTTCCAAGAAGTATAATGCATTTTTCATAAAAGCAACACATATCTTTTTATTCACATTTTGTCAAAGTGACCATAATTTAACTGATGTGATGTACAGAATAGGAATAAATAAGTCTGAGGACAAATTTCTAACTCTTTGCAAGCAAACAACTCAACAAGAAGGAACAAAAGAATGTGGCTGTACTAAATTAACCTATTGACTATGAACATTTAAGAGGCATCTGACCTCACTTTATATGTTTACAGAGAGAAAGCACAGGTACTGGTTAATGTAGGAATTTGGTAAAGTGAAGGTCATTTAGGATTACCTACAAATAATATGTCAAAAAATGTGGCTAGAAAAATGCTATCCTACGGTGTACAGAACTGGAGAAAATAATCCATCCTACTACAAAATTCTGCACAAAAGAGAACAGAGAATACAACAAAAAAAGTGAGTCCCCTTCCTCCCTGATCCCACAGTCTTCACTTGAAAGCCCATTAACTGTTGCTAGTGTTTTTGTGAATCTTTCTACAGATACACCATGCATATTCAATCCATACATTCTCAGGTGTTGTTTTTTTTTTAACCTGCATATATTATACTATTTTAACCTGCATATATTATACTATTTTTCTGACACCTTCCTTTGTTTGCCTTGAGACCGTTCCCTATCAGTTCAACAATGAATTGTTATTAAAGCATAGATGTCCACTATTGACAGAGATTTGGATGTATTAAGATCATTTATAATTATACATGATGCTGCAGGATAAATCTATTTGAACCAAAATTCCTGTTTCAAAGAGCATGTCAAATTTCTATTTGGGATGAAAATATTTTTTTTTAAAGATTTTTTATTTGTGCATACAGAACTAGGGTACAGGCCAGAGGCTCAGAGGCAGTGAGAGGCTTCACCAGAGACAGAGTGGGGAACAGAACAGGCAGATCGACCAAGTACACTGCTGAGGGGAGCAGCGGGCGGGTCAGGAGAGGTCTGCCACGCCATGTGGTCTCCTCCGGGGCAGGCAGGAATCGAACTCATGCGGAAGAGGCTTTAGATTCTCAGTGCTGTGCTTTAACCCACTGTGCCACCAGGGAGGGCCGCAAATATTTTTAACTCTGCTGAGTGAGAGGAAAATCCCACCTATGATAGTCTTCTGTTTGAAACATGCGCCATCTTAGAAACTCAGTGGATATGTACACACAAGAATATACCTATTATATTCATACTAGAGACCATTAATGAGATCAATTTTTATATGATATACACAACCACATTAAGTTTTCTGGTAGAGGGGTCAGAGTTTTGTTTTTCCCACCCCCCCCCTTAAATTAGGCACAACGTCTGTGATATCTCATATCCTCTAAGAGTTAAAGTTGTGCCCTTTCCAATAAAGTAGAAGTGGGGGAAAGTGACAATATTTTCAGGAAATATGAAGCAAATGCCTGGTAGTTCTTTAACCAGTGACTCTATAGTCTCAAGGATAGTGTAATTAAGGACAGTGCATTGCACCTTAATGCATGTTGCAATTTATTTTCACTTGAAAATTATGAATAAACTTTATTAAAGTAGAGTTGTCATAAAGCTAACTATCCTAATTCATACCTGGAATAATTAGAAATGCATTAATTTTAGAGTAATACTCCAAAGATTTTGACCTCTGTTTTCTAAAAATCTCCCATGTCATAATTTTCTTCTTTAGTTATCTTATTCTTTCCCCAAGTAGAGAAGCTGACCATATACTTCAGCCTCATGTATTCTTAGCCTGTCTATAGCAGAGGCTCAAAAAATTACTTATTAACAGAATAAAAGTGTAGAAAGGAAAAATCAATCACTAAATGATTCTGATCATTAAAAAATTTAATGGCTTTTAAGTAAAATAATTTCAGTAACAAAAAATCTATTAGTTTCCATAATTTTCCAAGGCCACAATCTTAAAGAAGACTTGCTATGAATATTCAGAAAGACATAAAATGGATTTCCTTTTCCAGCTAATTGCATACAGCTGGTATTTATATTTAGAGGCATAATTGCCTGGGGTCATCTGCAAGTCTTTGTGAGCAATGAGACAGGTGGGGAAAAATAAGTAAGTTGTTACCCTACTTGACATGTAAATTAAGTTACATTTTTTAGTCCATAGTATGTTGTCGGATATGAAAAAATCTGAATCTTTAAAGGACTGAGATTCTTTTAAGGTCCCATTTGGACACTTCTTTTTATAGTTACCTGGGTTGCCATGGCAGACAGGAAGGATATGAACGTGGAAGGATAATCTGCAAATCTGTGGGTGTTTCTTGACTATGGGCTTGAACTAGAGGCTCCTGTTCCTTCAAATATTTCACATCAGAAATCCAGGAAATTCTAAGATCTTCCAGAGACAATGCCTTTCAATAAGTTTAACCTCAGCTATAGGGTAAGTGTGTTCTTATACCTCTAATAGAATACATGGATAAAATCATCCTCACTGAAGCAGACATGGATTGATCACATCCTACTATTGGAGGAAGGCTCCCTTGTTTGACATGTAATAGCCTCTTTACACTCTTATTCTCAAGAGTTTGAATATACCATGTAAATCTGAAAAATGAGAGTACAGTGAGAGGTTAAGCTAGAGATGGAAACAAAGATCATGGTAGGTAGTGTCTAAGTGTTAAAGGCTTTCCTCCTCCAGTCAAATAAGAATAGGAAATTACCAAAAGATATGATCTAAGGGAAATCCAATTGCTGTATTTTGAAGATTACGTTAACTGCTGGGAAGAGAATGAATTAGAAGGAACTACAAGGGATTCCATGAAATCTGTCATCCTTACCAAGTTTCCCCATGCAGGCTTCTCCCTCTTACAGTGTTCTCCTAAGAGATGACCCCTGGATAATCTGGAGACAAGTATATGCATACATACATACATACATACATATGTATATATATATATATATATATATACACACATATACATATATATGCTCAGCTTCATTAATCAGCAAAGTTCATAGAAACCATACTGAGATATCACCTTGTACCTTTTAGGATGACTAGCAGCAACAAAAGTAAAAGACAAGTGTTACCAAGAAGCTAAAGAAATTGAAATGTCTGTACACTATTAGTGGGAATACAAAAAGTACAGCTACTAGAGAAAGCAGCACTGAGCATCCTCAAAAAGTTAAAAATAGAACTACTACATAATCCTGCAATTTTGGGTTATTTATTCAAAAGAACAGAAATGGGGATATTGAAGAGATAGCAGCACTCTCATGGTCATTTCAACACTATTCAACATAATCATTACAAAAAGATAGACTGAACATAACAGATGAATGGATTGAGAAAGTACTGACTGTCGTCGGTGGTGCAATGGGTTAAAGCATAGCACTATAAAGCTAGCCAGAGACACTTCAACATGGGTTTGATCCCTGGCCTTGGGGGTGACCCACATGGTGTGGCAGGCCTCTCCTGACCCGCCCGCTGCTCCCCTCAGCAGTGTACTTTGTAGATCTGCCTGTTCTGCTCCCCACTCTGTCTCTGGTGAATCCTCTCTTCTACCACACTTCTACCTGCACTTCTACCACAGTTCTGATGCATAAATAAATAAATCTTAAAAAAATTACACAAACATATACAATGGAATATT